GGATGAGATCAGACTGATGGCTTGTACAGCACGATTAAAACTATCTTCGAAGCACTCCTATGAAATATGAGTGCACCGTGGAGCTCAGTCTCATATTGAAAGACGGTGACAAGAACATCTGGATTTATCAGCAGCGTTTGGCGGGGTAATGACAAGTGAGCTCATGGAGGAGGGGTAGTTTGAAGGGTGTCAAAACACGTACTTATGTACGGCTCGAGATTCACAATGTGCCCCCGGTATAACTCTTGGCCTCATATTATAAAGACTGGAGGACTCATCCATCCATTCAACTATTTACTAAACAATGCATTGAGTAGAAGTCTAAGTACACCATGTCTCTCATAATGGCTTAGGTAATCCGGAGAGGGCTGCAGATCTCGGCATTCACGGAGTCAGATGCACTAAACCGTTTCTGGAATTCAAGGTCCTCTGTTGCTCTTGAAGGGGCGCTCCATAGAAGTTACAACTTAATAGTCGGGTATTTCTAGACTCTTAATACCCAAAACCCTCATATCTGTATGGCGACAGAGGGTAATAGATTGGCTTTGTAATCGACCTCTCGTCCAAGTCAAAACAAGAGTGGCGCTTTTTCCTTCCTCGGCTCACTTCAACGGTCCGCCAAATCGCTCAACATCGTCTCAACGATCCGGCATTGAACGAAGCCTCCGAGCCGGCTTCTTTTCCCACCAACCCCTCCGGTGTATGAGTCTTAGAAGGTCCGTGGATTGGATCAGAATCATGGCAAAGACTGTTTGCATTGTTGGTAGGACCTCACCAGGCACCGTCTACACATGAGAACCCCGCTCACATCCCTTCAAAGGCGCTGGCCCTTCCGGACTGGTCGCGGCCAAGACGCTGCTTCACAATGCAACCCCAGGCGAGTTCAAAGTGAGCGTCTTTGATGCTCAAAAAGCTATTGGTGGACTATGGCCGACCTCCAAGTCGGACAACCAACGTCAAGTCCATCCACTCATGCTCGCCAACCAGAGCAGACACACGGTGCAATTCAGCGAGTTGGCATGGGACGATACGGCCCCCCAACTCCCTCAGGCGTGGATGATTGGCGAATATCTGGAGAAGTACTTGGGTCACTTCTTGACGGGGAATAAGGATTTCGAACTCAAGCTTGGCACGCGCGTTACGAGAGCCGAGAGGCTAAAGGATCCATCTGATGGGTGGAGTATTACGGCTGGATCTGACACCCGACACTTCAACTACCTGCTGGTTGCCTCCGGCTTCTTTGGCAAGCCCATTATTCCAGAGGGCCTTGCAGGAGAATTTTCGGTTCCTGTCATTCACAGCAGCCAGTACCGAGATTTGGAAGGCCTCTTGGGCAAGGGCCAGCAAGGAGGAGGAAAGATTCTTGTCGTTGGCGGACAAATGTCTGGAGTTGAGATTGCTGGAACCATTGGAGCACATCTGTCTTCGGAAGCGAACTCACCAAATGGTTCAAACATCAAAGACATTGACAAATACCGCATCCATCATGTCATCCAACGGCCGGTCTGGGTTTTCCCCCTGTTCACGAGCCCCAAGGTAAGCTCACGCAGCTTCTCTGTCGCGATGTCGACTAACTTGTTCCCAGCCCGCAAACGCCGCAGCCCCTTTTCTCCCCTTGGACTTTGGGTCATATAACATCAACAACCGTCCAAAGCCTCTGGCCAACACCCAAGGACATGTCACCAAGGAAACTGCCAAGGCTGTGCATGGAATCTTCCAGGCCGTTGTCGGAAGTGACCAGTCGGAATTCTCCCCTCTACTCAAGGTCGACGACTCCAATGACACCGAACAGCCATATCTTGCCGTCAGCGAATGGTACACAGACTTTGTTCGGTCCGGACTAATCGAGCTGTCGAAAGGCAAGGTGGAGGGCCTTGAAGGATCTACGGCGTTCGTCTCAGGCGGTGCGACGGTTGATAATATTGCTGCGGTAGTTGTTGCGACCGGATTTGACCCTTCGCCATGTCTGAACTTCCTCTCGGATGATGTTCTGAAGACTCTTAATCACTCTCCCACGCATGTTGACCAGCCCGTCGCACTAGGCTTTCATGGAACTCATCACCCCGAAGTCCCTAGCCTTGGATTCGTGGGCTTCTATCGGTCACCATACTGGGGAGTCATGCAGATGCAGGCCAGATTTGTGACGGCTTTGTGGTCTGAGAGTGCCAAGTCGGTTCGCTCTTCCGATATTTTCCAGACAAAGCTCAAGGACGACGTGTCGATACAGCGAACTCTTGACTTGCGTGATGACCCGCGTGTGTCGCAGTTCCCCATGGGAGATTACATCTACTTGATGGATGAATTCGCACAAGCTCTGTCAATGGACATTCACGCACCGCTGGCGCCCCCAACGCCTGCGCTCCCGCACAACGACCTACCACTTGACATGCTGACTCCGGCAAGGTATACCTCGGTCAACGATGACGATGCATCAAAGAAAGAGGCAGAGAAGTCCCTCGCGCAGACGCACAAACTTACAACCGATGGCCTCACGACGCCCAAGTTTGTGGCCCGCGCTGTTTTCCGCAGTTTGTTGGGCACATGGAACCTGGAGCGCGACCTCACAAGCAAGCTTCCCACCCATCCCAGCGGGCACTTTAGCGGAACAGCCAAGTTTCTCCTCCGAGAAAAGACGAGCGACGGCTTGAGATGCGCTGGAAACCCCACCAGCATAGACTCATCCGAGGACGAGCTGGGAATGGAATACCTTTACATCGAAGAGGGCGAGTTTAAGACGGAGCAGGGCTTCGGGTTCAAAGCTAGCCGTCGGTATGTATGGAGATACGACGAACTCAAGGACATACTGAGCGTCTGGTTCGCGAAGCCCGACGACCTCGCAAGGGCAGACTATCTCTTCCACGAGATTGAGTTCTCCGGGCCCGAAAAGGCTACGGACAAGGGCTGGGCTGCCAAGGCGGGACACCTCTGTATTGACGATTACTACGATGTCAAGTACGACTTTGGATTCCAGGCTGTTAATCTGAAGGAGTGGGGGATTGAGTATACTGTCAAGGGACCCAAGAAGGATTACACTATTCGAGGGACGTACACACGATAGGGGTGGCAGTCCGGAGAAGGGTCCACACGAATAAGAGATAAGTAAAGATGGCAGATATGAGCTGCTACCCGTGAAGTCAATTCGATTACAGTGATCTAGCATCTTTTTAAAGACAAGTTCTTTTCCTAACCTCGTAGACAGGACTAGGGTTGCAGGTGTCTCTAAGCTTGCAAGTGTCTAAGCTTGCAGTGACTACAAGGCTTGTCGCAACAAATGCCGTCAATATTTCAATCGAGATTTTTCGAATTTCCTCTATTCCAATATTGAACACCATTGGGCAAATCCTTCCATCTTTTCTCTCAGCTTTACTGCAACAAAGCTCTCATTAACATGTGACCTTCTTCTGAGGTACCGTTGCACACAATTTTCGCCGTGAAATACCTGAGGCCCAAGTAGCCACCGTCGGAAGCGTGAATGACTCAGCAGCTGGAACCTGCTGGAGCCGTGATGAAATCCGTCGCGATACTGGCCCAAAGTTTAGTTAACTCATCGCGTCAAACAATTTATTGCGAGTCTCACACCAAAGATCGAACTCTCCCCCTGCAACCTTGCCACTCTTCGACACTCTCATCACCGCACCCATACTACTGTTGTTTATCACAGCACGCGCCGACAGAAGCCCTCGAGTTACCACAATGGCATCCGAGCCGTCAGAAGCAGACAAGGTGGCGGCCCCCCCGGTCGTCGCATTCAAGAAAAGAGGTGGACGCCCAAAAGGAAGCATTATGAGGAAGAGGCCAGCATCGCCAAAGCCAACCGACGACTCTTCTGGTGATTCGTCTTCCGACGACGATGGCGTTCAGCACCGGGCCAAGCGCAGAAACAAGACGGCAGCCGTCACAGCCACATCCGCATCCAACAACACGTCCTCCAACGAAATCTTCGCGACCACCTTCGAAGCTGATCGCAAAGCCACATTGGCCAAATCAGACGATGCTACCAAACGAGTGGACTGGCACGAGGGCGAGAAGCCCAAGATTGGCCCTACCAAGACATCTGCAAACGTGCGCATGACCATTGCCACCGACTTTGCGCCCGACGTATGCAAGGACTACAAGAAGACTGGTTTCTGCGGTTACGGCGACAATTGTATCTACGCTCACGTCCGCGAGGATTTCCAAGCTGGTTGGCAGCTCGACCACGAATGGGAAAAGATTAACAAGGGCGGCAAGAACCCCAAAGGCACGACGGTCGCGAGCGCCAATCGCGACAAGAAGGGCGAAGACAACGAGGAGGACGAAGAGTTCTTGGAGAAGATTCCGTTTGCCTGCATCATATGCGAAGGCTCATACCGTGCACCCATTATCACGCGGTGCGGACACTATTTTTGCGAGCCGTGTGCCCTGAAACGGTACCGGAAAGATCCGACATGTGCGGCCTGTAGTGCTGGGACAAATGGTGTTTTCAATTCGGCGGCGAAACTAAACAAGTTGTTGGAGCGCAAACGGGAGCGGGTGGCCAAGAAGGAGGCAGAGGCTGCTGCCGCAGAAGCAGAAGATACCTGATGGGAAATTTTGAGAATGTTCGAGGTTTGGTATTTTCGACATGAGAAGCGAGCGAAATGGGGAGCATAGCGGTGGATAACTGTGCTAACAATGTACCAGGTGAAAGGTCAAGAGGGCCTCACCAAGCAACCAAAGGAAACTAGGTGTTCCATGTAACTTTAGACAACTGGCCGTAATAAGTGGCTACGATGATGATCCGCACCCTCCCATATCTCGGTCTATCACATCACACTAGAATGTGGCATGCCCCTTTTTTCGCCATTCAAATGGATAGTCTGAAGTCTGAACCAGCGTTGGCAGCAGTAAAAAACGGTGAAGGCAGGCGGGGCCTAACTAACCCACCAACCCCACTTGAGTACCGACTATCGACAGATTCCTGCAGCATCCAATTTATATGCTCCGTTTTGAACGCCTCCCTTCATCAAACAACACAACAAGCCCTGTTGGCTAAGTGGTATAGCGTCTCACTAGTAATAACAGTGCGATGAGAAGATCACTGGTTCGATTCCAGTACAGGGCAAAGCGAGGTTCCAAGAGAACCTCATCTTTTTGCCTGTTGTGTTCCTTTTGCCCCGAGGCGTTTTCGCTTGACCGCAGACGTTCCCAGGCAGGCTTGTGCCCAATCATGAGACTTGTAGAAGAGTTTCGACTACAGTCCTCTGTATCACAAGTCCGTTTGGGTTCTGGAACTCGAATAACAACTTCTAACCTCTGGACATATGCTGGTGACGTTGCCCGACTATGATACTATTGGCATGTGGATAGTGAGCTTCATAAATCAGCGAACGAAAGCTATGCGGAACGCTCGGTGAGTTGATCCCTCCTCAACTCTATGCGATTATCTCCTGTCGGATCCTTCGACTATGGCCTCACTCTCAGCGCCGTCCCCACGAGATCCCATATAACCGCTCACCTTGGGATTCGTGCGCTTCATCCAGCAAGTTGACTCGTAAGCCTATATCCCTAGAATCCTACACAAGTCATCTTTGCTGTCGAGGCCTTTCCCTATTCGAACGCGGCCTTCGATGCCGTCCACGGCCCCACCCCGAACGAGGTTGTGTTGTTCCACCACTGACATGGCAGCGCATATATCCAGTGCCGGGCCATCAGTCCAAATGAAGACACACGGAAATCTGGGGAAGTGCAGAGACATGGGTAGACATATGATGGTAGTTTATCATCATTCGAGATATAAAAGATGGACGAGTTCCGAAACCTCTCTTGCTGTGTTATTCGCAATTGCCCTTGCAACAGGTGGTGTTTTGGGAAACTCGTTTTCCCAATATGAAGTTCTCCAAGATCGCCGCGGGCTTCGTCTCGCTCTGCGGCCTCGTTAGCTCGGCTCTGGCTTACACGAACCCTATCCGAAACCCAGGAGGCAGCGATCCCTTTGTTGTCTTGTCGGGCGATGGCTACTACTACCTCATGTCAACTTCCTGGACGGATGTAGAGATTGCGCGGTCGACTACCATTGCGGGTCTCAAGACGGCTACGAAGAAGGTCATTTACTCGTCTACTACAACAAGCCGCTGCTGCAATGTCTGGGCTCCCGAGATGCACTGGATGGGCAGTGCCTGGTATGTGTACTTTACTGCCGGCAACGGAGATGACCTCGATGGCCAAAGACTGCACGTCTTGAAGGGTGAGATATTTTACGTCCATTAAAGTCTTACAACTGTTACTGACTCGATATCTCAGGAGGAGCAAGTGCTTGGGACGACGACTTTTCCTATGCCGGTCAACTCACCGACATCTGGGCTATTGACGGCTCCGTCCTCCGCTTCAGCGCATACGGAAACTACCTCATGTACTCGTGCATGTACGGCGTCACCTACCAGTCCATCTGCCTGCAGAAGCTCAACGACGACAACGTGTCGCTCTCGGGCGACATCCACATAATCTCGCAGCCGACGCGGACGTGGGAGAAGTACCAGTACCCCGTCAACGAGGGCCCGGCCGCGCTGTACGCCAACGGTAAGACCATGATCGCCTACTCGGCGTCGTACTGCTGGAGCCCCAACTACTGCGTCGGCCTGCTGACGTGGGACGGCTCGACGGCGCCGACGAGCGCGAGCGCGTGGACAAAGAGCGACGGGTGCTTGCTGAGCAGCGCCAACGGCAACTACGGCACGGGACACAATTCGTTTTTTACGAGCCCGAGCGGCGAGGAGACGTGGATTGCGTACCATGCGACGTCTTCGTCGTCCGGGGCGTGTGATGATAGTCGATATGCGATGATCCAGCAGATTAGCTTTGGGAGTGATGGGTCTGTTGAGTTGGGAACGCCTGTGAGCTTTTCTACGTCGATTAGTGAACCTGAATAAGGGGGTTGAGTTGTGGTTTTGACGGACAGCTCGCTGAGTATGTAGGTATGGTCACGGATCATACTAGGCTAGGGTGAATGCATGAACGATTATTCTCTTACCTGTCATGATGTTCCCTTCCTTAGGCACGGCTTCGTAGCTTCTGAGAAATGCCGTAGCGACCAGCCAAGATGTAGGAGGTGCCACCCTACCACATGGTAGGTACATTTTGGTGCTGGTATATTGGTACAGACATTTGAGAATTCCTTCAGCTCTTTTCAACGCATTCTTTACAGATTTTGTTTCGTACGGTCCCCTTTTGCGAGCCTACAAGATAGTTTCGGCACTGACTATGACCTAGATACAACAAGCTATCGATCATCCTTTCGCTCCGCATGTGAGTTTCGTTCCTTTTCAGCCTGGTTTTTGAGAAGAAAGCTAATATCCAATGTTTTTATTGCAGCAATCAAGCAACCATTTGCTCCGAACCTCCTGCGCGGCCAGATTTTCTTGGGTTTTTGTCCCGGTTCTTGTTGTGAGTCTCACAACTTGTTGTATATACTTATGCTAAACCTACGAGTTGCTGGCTCTTGAAACGGATCACAAAGCCACCTCGCACCTCGCCTTCGAAACATGCCTCGTCCCAATATCACCATTCCTGCACCACTTCGTGAAGGACTCATTGAGTGCTTCCGAGCAACCACCCGCCTGGTCCCTCCTGAACTCCGCCGCCAACTGGTACTTGTTGGTGGTGCTGCGTGCATCGTCCACGCCTCTCCATAGAAGACTGAGGATGTGGACATTGCAGTGCCCTCAGATGTGATCCCTCACGTTCTGAAGGGAATTCAGGATGGCACTTTCAACCATTCCATCGAATCCGACGGCAAGATCGCGTTCGACACCTCGTTAGGTTTCCGTATCCGGGTCGATTTCATCGAACTTGGAGAAGGAATTGTCGAACGGATCCACGTATCGGAGCCATTCCATGAAGGTTCTGTTGCGTCCATGTCGGATTTGTTGCTGTTGAGGGCCGTGACGGTGGTTGAACGTGGGGGCGATGGCGATATATGGGATTTCAAATGGCTGTTATCGGAGGTTGCAGGGAGAGGAGAACAGTTTCCTGCCCTCAACAAGGCTGAGTTTGACAATTTGAGTAAAGCTGTGGAGGTATGCCTGGGGAAGGTGGGTTACTTGGTGCTTGTCGCAATTCTTGGCAACAACAATACTGAAGTTTGCCATTGTTTGTTGAAGTGAGTACATGTAATGTAGGTATTGATAAGAATGCAGACTACCCATTCACGTCAGAAAAATTGGGTTAATATTGACTTGGTATTATTAAATCTGTATGGAATAAACCCTGTACCCAACATCTTCATTCCTGTCTACTCCGGCCCATGTCACGCCTTTGCTAGGTCTATATCCACCACCCATGGTAACTGAAAGGAATCGGCTTCAGGGCCCTGTATTGAACCATTGATGAACAAAGTCTGCTCACCCACACGTAGAGGCACCTCATCTCCGGCGCAGTGGCTCGTGAAAAATGCTCGCCGAGAGGTCATAGTCTTCAACTTTATGTTTTTCTCCTCCAGAGTCTCAGGTATATCGAACTTGCCTGCTTTGAGGCTCGCCAACGATGATAAGAGGACGGAATTGTCGTTGTCAATGTCTGCAAAATGTGTTGGCATCTCAGATGTTTCTCTGCGCCATGCTGCCAGCTTTGCGCCCCAGCCCTCATGAATGTGGCCGAAGCAATGCAGACGGGGCCTGGCTCGCGCGATGGCGCCAAAGAGCTGAGGGCATCCCGCTCGCTCTTTGGAATCTGTACGATCTAAAACGCCCCTTGGCGGCCCATGGGTCATAACTAGGTCTACCGTTGGGATGTTCCAATCGTGGCCCTGGTCTGGATGGTATTGAAACCCCCAGTTACTCTTAGACGGCGTATACGGACTCGCATATACCGTCAAAAGTGCACCGTTGGTCAGGACAAAGCGATGGACGCCCTCATCTAAAAGTTTGATATCTGGATCTTGTTGCAATAGCGAACGAGCTTCCCCAAAATTACCAAAGTTCCGTCTCACTAGATCCTCTTCGATGGCAGTTGGAGCACCATCAATTACATTCTTGAAAGCTGGAGTGTCGAGTGTAAAATCATGGTTGCCGGCAATGACCAACTTGAGTGGTGCTTGTATGGCCTTGAGCAGCCGAAGAGATGTTCTGAATTCATCAAGCTTCGACTCTTCGGTAAGATCGCCGCAATGTATGGCAACGTCAACAGGGAAATTTGGCTGGACATCGGGCGGGAATTCTTCTCCGTGGGTGTCGGAAAGAATGAGGAAGCGCGTCTTGACACTGGCCTGAGGCTCCATGTTGAGTGAGCGGTGGTAGGAGAGACTCGTCTAGGAGAGAAGCAAGCTTTCCAGTGTCGAGGGAAAAGAAGGGAGAGGTTTTCTGTTTACTGAAGGAGAGAAAATACGGACACTTATAGTTGACATATGTACGGCGTTGAACCTTGATGTCAATCGAGCAAACTATGGGCCTTTTTTGCTTTCCTTTGAACCTCTGACCCTCCTTCTGTAGGTTACCAGCAAAGATTCTCTGGCAGAGATTTGTGCCTTTCCATTGAGACAGCCATTGTGTGACTATTTACCCAGTGCAGTGTTTGATACTATCATTAATTATCGTATTGCGCGAAGAAAACAGTAGGCATGTTCTCATGTGCCCCTCAGCCAATTATAGCAGTGTCCAACAGGTCCCAGAGGATGAGGGAGGAGACAGAAGATTGTCATTTTGGGAGAATAGGAGGGAGTTCCTTTGGCGGGGCTCGCTAAGAAATTAAGATGGAGGAATGGTGTTATCAAAGACTACGAGTGTGTTGGCGAGATCTGGAGGAGACAACACACGCATGAAAATGTTTTATTGAGCGGTTGCCAGTTGAAGAGGCTCCCTCCTTGATCAACTGATTGTCCTTGTCACAGCCGCGCGGCACAGCCAGCGTGAGTCACCAAACACGGTGAGACGAGGGCACACTGGCCAACCGGGTCATGGTGGTGTTTGTCCCGGACGAGGTTGACCTTGGCCTCACCGAAGAGATAAAAAACTGCCGATTCTGGATCGCTCGGCTCATGTTGTCACGGTATCTTCGGGGGGGCTCGTTCCCTGAGGCTCTGCCGTCGGCCGATGAACCAGACGGGGATATGTGCCAGACCAGGGTGTTGGC